GACCTGCTTCCCTATTAGATCAATATTAGCTAAGTAGCTATACTTGTAATTTTATTAGTTGATTATAGGTTGATCCATGTTGTACTCACCTCATGATTTTGTACCACCTCATTATTTTGCTCTATAAAACATTCTTAGAGAAATGACCTTGGGGTCAACCCACTTTTGGGACCCCTCCTGTCTCTCAGGAGCTATCTCCCAATAAGTCTTTCCTACTCTTACCCTCTATTGTTCCTTAGAATTCATTCTTCAATTTCAGGGGACATGAACTTGGTGTATCTGACATTTAACAGGTTGGGAGTATATTTCTCCTATGTCATTCTGAAGCAAACATGGAACATTTCAAACATTTTTGCTTACTTAGACATATGGAAAATCTCAGAAAATCCTAAAGTCAGCTTTATATACTATACTCTCAGACTATAGGTTAAAACTCAAAACCAAAATACCTTTAAAAAAGCTTCACGTCTAGAAATTCCAACGTACTTTTAATTAACCTCATGGATGGAAAAAAATCATAACAAAAATCAGAAAAATATTTTTAAGTCACAGCCATTTTCACATGGAGGAGTGGACAGCACAATTTACCACTGGAGGAAGCTAGCTGACCCATTTGGGTGACGTAGCTGAAAAGTTCAGCAAAAGCCAACTCACAGAATGATCAGATAGCCAAAATGGAAACTGCTGAAAGCTTGGACACTGAATATCAATTTGCTAAACAACCAGTTTGAATTAAGGGTTTTTTCAAAATGTGTTCCATCTCCATTCCTGCCTTTGCCTCCAGAGTGTGAAAGTTGTTGAAATCAGATTGGAGTCACTTAGGTCAAACCCTAACAGGATGGGGTCAAAAGGGCATGGGAGCCCATCCTACAAGTACCAATTCAACCTTGGATGGACACCATCCTTGTTATTGATCTTTGTAGCCAAAAGTTATTGTCTCAAAACAACCTGCTCATTTTATCCTGTAAAAACCCTTGTCTTCTTTTGCCTCCCAGGATATACTCATGTGTGGTTCACCACGGCATGCACACCGCAGATTGCAATCCCCCATCAAGCCAAGCAAAATCTTTGTTTTGAAGAGCTGGTTTCTCTACCAGTCTCTTCAGGTTGACAAAAGCCACTAAAGAAACCCTATTTAGGCCAGTTCTCCACAACTCTTTTGTAATGCAAATACAAAAGCTGGTGTAGATGCAGGTACCAAGACAAGGTATACCTAAAACTTTGAGGGAAGGGGAGTGGCAGGACGTTTCTCCATCATTTGGTGAACTGGCTATTCAGCAAATCTGATTTTGGCAAACTGTTTTCAGTGACTAATGACCCAGAGTTTACAAAAGGCACACAATGCCGGCAGGAAAGGGGCGCTTGAGTCAAAGGGGTGCCAAGACTCCATACAGTTAAAATAAAGGTGTGTCTTTTTTAGGTGGAGCTATTCCCGTTTAAAAAATTTTTAAGCTTTGAGGTTTTAAAGTTTGAGGATCCTGAGGCCGAGGGTGGGGTCCCTGGCTTCCTGCCTGGGACTTACCCTGAGGCGCCACTGAAGGTGAGATGTTGAACCTTAAATTTGCCTTTTTTCTTGTGATATCTTCAAATTTTGTTGAGTAGGCTACACAAGGCCGGTCCAGCATCAAAAGTGTCACGGGGCACGAAGGCAGGGCCTTGCCCTGGGTCCACTCGGCAGAGATGGAAAGTGGTCTCCCCCCACGTGTCTCCTTCGAGGCAGTTCTCAGGAGCGTCAGCATTGGATCTGATGTTCTGGGAGGTTCCCAGCCACAAAGCCAGCAGGCCCCATCACAGCCCAGTGGTACTAGAGACCAACTAGGCGGCTAGGGAGAAATTCCCTTTCCTTGAATATTCAAGATGAGGGCCCCCCGAAAGGGCTCTGGGGTGGGGTGTGTCAAGCTCATTGCAGCCTTTGCCCTTCACGGGACCCCTGCTCCCACTGCTCCTCCAAGCTGCTGTCTCCAGGACCAGGTATAAACCTCATCCCCTTCTCCGAGTTGCTCAACAGAGGTCCTCCAGACTGGGAAACGAGATTCAGCGTGCCCAGCCTGAGCCCCACGCCTCGCAGGGAGCATCACACCCAAATTTGGGAGCGCAAAGAGAGGTGGAGAACGATGGGACTCACGCTTAGTTCATTCATCACGCATTTATTTAAGGTCCACTACTTGCCCAGGGCTCCCAACATCAACAGAACAAGCGAGCAATAATCACACCAAATGTAACCGCACGCCAGAACCAATCAAAGAGCTCAGGGACCTAAGCGTGCGGCCCAGACTGCGCAGCTTCAGGGTGCAGGAATCAGGGCTTAGAGGAAGAGCCCCAGGGCTACGTCCCCACCCCCACCCCCACCCCC